TCATTTGTTCTTCTGAGTCTATTCTATGTTTCTTCACTTAGTATAACAGTTTCTAGTTCCATACATTTACCTGAAAATTTCATAATTTCATCTTTCTTTACCACTGAGTAGAACTCTGATGTGCAAATGTACCACATTTTCATTATCCACTTATCAGCTGAGGGGCACTTGGGTTGGTTCTATCTCTTAGCTATTGTGAAAAGAGCAGGAGCAAACATGGACATACAGGTGTCTCTGCAATAGGATGAGTCCTTTGGGTATATGCCAAGGAGTATATAACTGGATCAAATGGTTGGTTCATTTTTAGTTATTAAGGGTTCTCCACACTTCATTCCATAGGGGTTGCAGAAGTTTGCAATCCCACCAGCAGTGGATGGGCATTCCTCTTTCCCCATATCCTCTCCAACATTTGGTATCATTTATTCTCTTGATCTTAGCCAGTCTGTCTGGGGTAAGATGAAATCTTAACATGGTTTTAATTTGCATTCCCTAATTACTAACAATGTTGAACACCTTTTAAGATGCTTCTTAGCCATTTTTATTTCTTCCTTTGAGAACTCGCTGTTAAGCTCTGTGTCCAATCTTTTAATTGGGTCATTTGGTTTCTCAATTCTTTTGTTTTTGCTTTCTTGTTGTATTTTAAGCTCTCTATATATTCTGGATGTTAAACCTCTGTCAGATGTGTCACTGGTGAAGATTTTCTCCCACTTCCTTGGTTGCCTCCTTTGATGTACAGAAGCTTTTTAGTTTAATGAGTTCCCATTTGTTGATTCTTGACCTTATTTCCTGAGCAATTGATATCCAGTTTAGAAAGTTCTTTCCTACACCTATATCTTGTAGGCTATTGCCAATGTTTTAGTTTCAGTCTTCACATTGAGGTCTTTGATCCATTTGGAGTTGACTTTCACACAAGGTGAATGATAGGGGTCTAGTTTCATTCTTCTACAGGTGGAGATCCAGTTTTGCTAGCACCATTTGCTGAAGATGCTGGTCTTTCCTCCAGTGAATGTTCTTGGCCCCTTTGTCAAATGTCAGGTGGCTGAAATTGCATATACTCACATTTGGGTCTTCAGTTTTGTTCCATTGATCTACGGGTCTATTTTTGTGCTAGTACCATGTGGTTTTATGACTATAGCTCTGCAGTATAGTTTAAAATCTGCTGTAGTAGTCCCCCCAGCATTGCTCTTAATGCTCAGGATTGCTTTGGCTATCCAGGGTTTTTTGTGCTTCCATATGAATCTTAGGATTGATGTTTCATTCCAATTCTGTGAAGAAAGTCATGGGGATTTTGATTGGCATTGCATTGAATCTGTAAAGGGCTTTTGGTAGGCTGGTCATTTTAACAATATTACTTCTTCCAATCCACGAGGATGGGTGGTCCTCCCATCTTCTGCTGTCTTCCTCAGTCTCTTTACTTGAGAGATTTAAATTTTCATTGTTGAGGACTTTAATGTCTTTGGTCAGGTTTATTCTGAGATTTTGTTTTTGAGGCTATTGTAAAAGGGAGTGTTTCCATGTACTCATTCTCTGATTGCTTATTATTGGTATATAGAAAGGTTACAGACTTTTGTAGATTAATTTTGTAACCTGCACTTTACTGAAAATGTTAATAATTTCTAGTTTTCTGGGAGAATTTTTGACATCTCTTAGATACAATATCATACCATCTGCAAAAAGATAATTTGGCCTCTTCTCTTCCAATTATTGCTCCTTTAATTTCCTTCTCCTGTTTTGTTATTCTCGCAAGAGTTTCAAGCACTATATAAAAAAGGAGTGGACGTAGAAAAAGTCAGCTGTAATTCGGATGAGTTTTCCTTTATATGTGACTTGTTTTTCTTTTGCAGCTTTCACTATTCTCTCTTTACTATGTATGTTTAGTGTTTTTTCTATGATGTGCCATGGGGAGTTTCTTTTCTGGTCCTGTCTATTTGGTGTTCTATATTCTTCTTGTATTTGTATGGGCATGTCTTTCTTTAATTTTGGGAAATTTTCTTCTACGATTCTGTTGAAAATCTGGTCCATACCATTATCCTGAGATTCCTCTCCTTCCTTTATGTCTATATACTATGTATGTTTAGTGTTTTTTCTATGATGTGCCATGGGGAGTTTCTTTTCTGGTCCTGTCTATTTGGTGTTCTATATTCTTCTTGTATTTGTATGGGCATGTCTTTCTTTAATTTTGGGAAATTTTCTTCTACGATTCTGTTGAAGATCTGGTCCATACCATTATCCTGAGATTCCTCTCCTTCCTTTATGTCTATGACACATAAATTTGGTCTTTTTATGGTGTCACACATTTCATATTCCATTCCTGTGTTTTCTTAAATTTTTTATACTCTTTATTTGAGCAGTCAAATCTGTCAATTTTATCTTCCAATCTTAATATTCTGTTTTCCATTTCTTTCATTCTATTCATGAGGCTTTCTTCTGTCGTTTCTAATTGTCTTATTGAGCCTGAGTATTCTTCAATATTTCATTTCATTTCAGCCTGAGTATTCTTCAATATTTCTAACTCTTTTCTTAATTCACTCAGAAGTTTATCCTTATCTTTCAGTTCTTTGATTTCTTTGTTTATGTGTTCTTTAAATTCATTGAATTCTTTTATCATATTTATAATTATTCTTTTGAATTCCATGTCCTGTGTTATGTCTAGGGTGTTCTCATTGTACTCCCCTACAGGACTGTTGGTACTTGATGGGGACATATTATTTGGGTTTTTCATGTTATTATTTTTTTGCTGTGACTTTGGCATGTGGATTTCTTGTGTAGTTTCTAATTCTTGTGTGAGACACAAGCCTTCCTTTGTGGAGTTTAGGTCTGTTTCTGTTTGTACACTTTATGTGCCTTTATTGTTTACTTGTTGGGTATGAAAAGCTGGTTGATCCAGGCTTCAGATTCTCTCTTTTGATTTTATATTGGAGGGGCCAGATGCCTTTAGTCCTGCTACTCAGGAGTTGCCACCGAGGCCCAAGTTGTGAGAGGATCAGATGATCTCAGTCTTCCTTCTAAGGTCTGGATCCCTCTAGCCAGCAGTCACAATGCAATTTGAAAGACTTACTAGGTATAGGTAGGATTCAGGACTCTCAGGCAGTCAGGGAATGAGGTTGGCTTCAGGAATCCAGGGCAAGCAGGGAAAGACGCTGGTCTCAGAAATCCCAGGCAGTTTGGGGGTAGGGACAGCTAGGGATGAAGGCTGGTCTCAGGTATGTCAAGGTAAATTGGGGTGGGGGAGGACTATGAGGGCTCCAGGGGACTAGACTGAATAATTGGGTTGGTCTAGGTGCAAAGAATCAGGAAGCCCTGGGGAGTCCGGACCAAGAGCATAGTCCAGAGGTCTGGGGTGCTAAGAGGAGAGGTGGGCCAGTGTCCACGCTAGAAGGAGAAAGGGAATTGTGGGCACTGGAAGTTTAAATCAGGTTGTGGGAGTCAAGGTGCAATAAGTGGGATCAAACTTACCAGGGAAGAAAGCTGGCCTCAGGAATCCCAGGCAGGTTGGGTGTGGGACAGCCAGGGATGAAGGTTGATCTTGGGTGTGCAAAGGCAAGGTGGGGAAGGGAACAAGCTTTGAGGGCTCCAGAGGACTAGACTGAAGAATTGGGTTGGTCTGGGTTCAAAGGATCAGTAAGCACTGGGGAGTCTGGGCGAAGACCGTAGTCCAGAGGTCTGGGGGGCCAAGAGAAGAGGTGTGCCAGTGAAAGTAGTCAAATAAGATACAAAAATACAATCTTTTAAAAAATATTTTGTTAATTTATTTTTATTTTATGTGTTTGAGTGTTTTACCTGCATGTATGTAAGTGCACCATGTGTGTGCAATGCTCAAGGAGACCAGAATAAGATTTCAGATCCCCTGGAACTGGAGTTATAAATGGTTTTTAGCAGCCATGTGGGTGCTGGAAACCAAACCCACATTCTCTGCAAGAGCATCTGGTGCTCTTAATCACTGAGCCATTTCTCCAGCCCAAAGAATATATTCTTTAAACTTGTGAAATACTATACTATTGCCAGCCTTATAACACCTCAAAGTATCCCACTCATGAAGTAAGTTGGACATGCATTCTTTCCCCAAATACTGAGGAGTGATACAAGGTCTTGTGTATGCTAAGGAAACTCTCTACCACTGCTCTATATCCTCAAATCATCTGGGGATTTTTGTTTCAAGACAAGGTCTCAAGGCTAGTCATCAAGGCTAGTCTTGAACTCACTCTGTAGCCCATGCAGGCTTTGAAATTCCAATTCTCTTAGTTCAGCCTCCTGAGTAGCTGGATTTATAGGTTTGTGCCACCAGGCCCAGCTAGATGGATTATTTAATGAACCATGTTTAACTTGAACATTCTACATTATGCAAAGGATTATCAGCAATTGATATTTTGATTTCCCTGTGACTTCACTGCTGCCTTGGACCTCAACATCGCATTTTTAAAGAAAAATGAACCCTAACTTCTCCATCACAGGATAAAAACAATCTGAAACCACCGTTTGTCCTGTCTTAGTTCCCACAAGTCTTTAAAGATGTTCTCTTAGGGGGCTGAAGAGAGGAGTCAGCAGTTAAAAGCACTGGTTGCTCTTGCAGAAGACCCAGGTTCATCTCCCTACGCCTACATAGTGGCTAAAAACTGACCATAACTCCAGTTCCAGGGGAACTGACACTCTCTTCTGACCTCTGCAGGCATTATACAACATGGGTGCATTTACATACATGTAGGCAATACACTCATACATAAAAAATAAAAATAAATAATGAATAAAATATTTTTTTAATCTTTAGGTCAAGTAAAGAAATTTGTTGGGAGAATTTTTGAGCTTCCAGTTTTCCAGGTACTTTCAAAGTACTATTTTTTCAATATGAATCATTTAAATAATAAAAAAAAAAGTTCTCATAGACTGTGAAGGACAATATTTCAAGTACTGTCCCATTATTTCAAAGATCTTCTTTAGGATTGTCTAGTTCACTTGCTCAAAGGTATTTGTCCTCTTGAAGACTTCCTACCATATAATGTCTTTTAGGCAAGCTGACTCCCACTGAGGACAATCTGTGGAAAAATGTAATTGGTTCCAAAGGTGCCACCGAGAGAGAATTCCTCAAACTTGATAAAAAGCTGACTGGACAGGCTCCTCTCACATTCCCAGGCCAGTGGCTTGACACTTTAGCAATGTGTATATCTGTGTTAAAAAAAAAAAAAAAGTCAAAAGCAGTCATAAACTGGAAAAGAGTTTCTCAGCTACATAACTTCAAAGAAAAGAACAGAGGACGGGAGAAATGGGTCAGAAGTTGAGAGCACTGGCTGCTTTTCCAGAGGACCTTAGTTTAGTTCCCAGCACCCACATGGCCTGTAACAACTGCCCTTAACTCCAGTTCCAGGAAATTTGATGCCCTCTTTGTCACAATTTAATTTAGCCCCCAGTTGAAGACAGTGTGAAGAACACGTCTCTGAAGTAACCTGTTGGAACAAGAGAGTGCATAGAAATTATACCTTTTAAACTTGAACTTGGCTTACAAAAAAAACTAGTCAACCTTGTTTGTTTTTAACATTG